TCTTCCTCGGACAGTTCACTTCAGACAATTTGTTCCAGGAAATTTAGTCTCCAGACACTTTGTTCCATAGACAATTCGTCTCTTAAGACTAAAGGATGAATTGCAGTTGAAATAACAGAGCCACTATTCTTATTTTACGAAGAATTTAATATTTTATAACTTACTCTAAAAGCAAATTTTAAAATACGGAAAATAGTATACATCTATTCAACAGTAAATATATATGGTGTGGCCAAACAATAAAACTTAATAAATCACTAAAAATTATAGCATGAATCATTCCTAAATAACCTAAAACTTCATCTTTAATAGACTATTACAATTTGAGAAATTATATGAAACCGAGGGGCAATCAAAAGAGCCACTTCTAGATGACTAAAAAGTTAAAAAGTCCTCATTTTTTGGTATCTCAAGATACCTAAAAAATTTTTTACGACATGGAAAACCGTCAACTACTTTTCAAACATAATTTGATCGTATTTTAGAAAACGAAAACTAATTATTTTTAATAAGGATGAAAAACGTTCAGAAGATATTTATATAATTTGAGTCATAAAGAACGGAAAATGATGTCATTTCTTTCATTCATTCACTTTTTGAGTAAACAGTTAATGTCAGTGTTCGCTATATATATCTCGATAAATTTTTCGTCGCGACAATTCTAAAAAAATTAAAGTAGTCGGATAGGATAGAAATACACTATAGCCGACTCAGTTCTTGGCGCTGATTCTTCAGTTGTTGACGCATCGAATGCAGTATAAATCAGGGCTTCATCCTTTAACAGAACAAACTAGATAGATTTGCAAAATTTGTTAGCACCCTTCAATGTGTCCTTGAGTATGAATTTTATTTTGGCCATATGGTATTGAATCAAGCTTTAAATAATATTTCTGGAGTCAGTTCCATACGGAGAATCGTATTCTGAATTTGACATCGGTGCAGATCGAAGGCATGTATTCATCAGTACCTATCATCAAAAATATTATTACAGAGCAGATTCTCATTTATGTTAGTGCTTTTACACCAAATCTCCTAGACTCATTTTTGATTAGGCTTTGATGTCATATATGGTCGGACGACAGGAGTTTTCGATAGTGCATGTTTCCTCCTGATGCATCCACCCCAGGGAGAAAAACTAGAGATGGGCACCGGGACCCAAAAAATTTTCTGGTCCCGGTGAAAGATTTGATTGCCGTTCCATCACCTTCACAGTTAAAATATCATTGGCCGTGAGAAATGTTTGCTCTTTCCGCTTATATATTCTAAAATATACCACAGGCCTTCGTTACGAATTAATTTGACTAATACAATGACCGGGACCAATCTGGACCATGTATTTGCTAAATTGATTGATAAACGAGAATCGCGAAATATTTTAGAATATATAACTTGAAAGAGCAAACATTTCTCACGGCCAATGATATTTTAACTGTGGAGGTGATGGAA